TTTTATTATTTGTTTTGGATATTAGTTCATTATTATATTGACAATAATTACCAACATACTAACTATACATTAATGACAATAATAATGAACATCGGATTTTATTAATCTGTATATGGTAATGAAATCATATCATATAACAAAGAATTAAGGTAATTGTTTGATTACAATCAAGTTATTTCAGGAAATTACAGATTTTATTCAATTAAGCAATGAAATCCAATTAATTTGGAAGTGAATGATTTGAATCACTATAAATATCATGTGTAATTAATTATAACAAACCCACAAAATCTTGACTATCCACGTATCTATATAATCTCAAATACCCACCCATGAGATCTCATTCATTATTTGCATCAACATTTGCTGAAATTCATCTGCACTGAGAAGGTTTGTATTAAATACTTTGTTGAACCTTCTTTCTTGCCTTTTTTGTTATTGTATATAATGGCATATATGAGTTCTTGATATTTTCCTTACTCTTTGTTCATGTGGTTTTCGTCGGATCAGCTCCGTATGTGAGAATTATATTATTGACTGCTCATAAATTTACGGTACAACTAAGTTATTTCCATTTTGCTCCACTTAATTACTTTTCTATATTTATTTATGTATATACAGTATTCGATATTCACTTTATATAATGCAAATTGTGCTTTAATTTGTACTTCTCAACAGTACCTCTTTGTCAACACATTCTCTTATGGTTTCAACCAACAAAACTCCGACATCACCGAACACATCGCACCTGTTTGATGTTCGTATAGGTAATTGAAAAGGTCCAAATAACTTTTCAAACCATTTTCATTTTTGTCAATTTCTTGCCGTGTTACATGATACTGTATTTCAATATAGTTTTTTATTCTTTTTTGTATGTATTTAGAATGTTCATTGCAACCCGTTGACAAGAATGTTCCAAAACCTAAGAGAAAGATCTACATTGCTGGTAACTTTTAACAATAAGAAGAGATAAATAGTTTTATACAATCAAATCTTTTATAAATAAGTATGTAATAATATTTATTAATTGCATTCAGGTAGCGCTAATGCTAAGAGATCATCAATAATAAAAAGACCAATTGCTTTTGATAATAATATGTTATCACAAAATACATCACAAAGTAAGAATTGTACTATTTATTATATATCCAATAATTTTATTGTATAACTATTCATATAATTTCAACTTTTATCGGTGCACAGTTCTCAACAATTCATATGTGTTGACTGCTCATCAATATTCCATGAAGGAGAATCAGCACCCAGGAGAACGGAATACAGACAAAGTGACCAATGGTGTGTATACTATACGAATACTTACCAATATAGTTTGGTATATTGACTTATTGTTATTGTGCATTGTCAAATAATGTTTTATATATTATTATCCCACTTTAGACCAGATTGTTAACATGAAGGGAAAAAAAATCATGAACGAGTCCATAAAATCTCAAGAAGCTTCAATTTATGGAATGAGTGGTGTTCGTATACCATCAAGTCGCGTTCTTACAGACATAACGAATGGTTAGTTATTGAATTCGTATGAGAAATAAATCATGCCATGTATATTTACATGATGTTTTAAACCATAAATTAATTGTTAAAACGTAGGAATAGAATAATAATTTTATTTCACATCATCTTTGAAATCGAAATCGATCTTCTGATAAACAACATGGACACGTTTAAATTATATTGAACTAAACATGTGGCATGTTTATTTGTATAGATAATCAGGAAAAGGGACAACACACTCCTACTGAAAAAAGAAAATTGTTACACGATGCTTTTAATACACGACGTGTTGTTCGGACACCATCGAGTTGGATTCTAAGTGATGTATCAATTGGTGAGTCAATTAGTTATACTTAATATTTTAAACCAGTTTGCTTTTAATATATTTCATGTGGTGACAATTATGTTCTTATATATTTATTTTAATTCCCTACTATTTATTATATTCGTCATCCAAAAGGGAAAAAACAAGTAATTGGGAAAGGAAAGGGAATTATTGCAAAACACGGAAAATCGCTGGAAAACGCATTTTATGGGGGAGTTCAAACTCCATCAAGTTGTGCTACATGGGACATAAGTAATGGTAAGATTGAATTCAATAACCTTTTAATTGTGGCATGCACACACACTACATAATTCGTTCTTATTAACTTAAATATTAAATTTTTATACCATAATAAGACTATAATCATGATTCCATACATCATTATTTTTTTGTTCTTTTATATTAAAAACATTATACAACAATATCAAGAAAAGTCAAACATATATAAAATAGTTATTTATAAAAGTAAATTTAATATTTTAATATATTGTGTCATCATATTAACAAAACAGGTAATTCAGGTCATCAAAAGTCTGTAGAACACCGACAAAATAATGACGTGCATGGATTAAATGTTGGAAACACAAAATTGACTGATGAGGCATTTAGTGGACTAGGTGTTGTTCGAACCCCATCGAGTAGACGGATAAAAATCCAATTTCCTATGTATAGACAGAATGATGCGAGTTTTTCATCAGCCGACAAGTTAAATGTTAAATGGTATAAATTTAGCTACACAAAATATCCATATGGCTGTCAGTGGGAGTACGTTACACTACGAAGATGAAGTTGTTAATTAATATTTTTAACTGCAATAACATCTACAATTACAGACCATAGTTATTAAATGGTTTTTCTTTTTTTTAAATCCTGAAACAGACACAATTCGACACTCTTACAATCCTGAATCTGGCACTTATGAGATTCCTGTTAACTATCTAGATTCATTTTACGAATCCACAAAAAGGTATGTTTGTATTTTTTATGCACATTCGTATTAATTTATATAGTGAATATTATAAATTTTCTAATTATATGTTCTCCATATATTTATTAAATTATCATTTCTAATGTTAAGGATTGGAAAGAGAGTTGCAAGGAGTCAAAAAACGATACAGTCGGTTGCACGTGGATTAAGTATGGACAGTACACCAACTATATTGGTGGACGAGGATTCTCAAACAGTAAGAGATGTTACATCGGACATTGGAGGTAACTATTACTTTTTACAATCACACACGGTTGGCGAAATAGGTCATTCAAATGCAAAAGACGAGATTTCATTGAGTGATAAAAAAAATGATTTTTATTTACAGATTCTGAATATGTTTCCAACGACGACAATAGTGACGATTCATTTGATTATGATGGTATTAACGTTTTATATTCTTTAAAACTATATTATTATATTGCCTTCGAACTTTATGAATTACTTATACTCGACGTTGCGCTATCCAGATTACGACGATCTGGGAGACCAGTCATACGAATGTCAATCGTGTGGTGCAATGATGTGGTACGCTGAACGTCTTGATAAGCATAGGAACACATCGAGACCAGAGTTTTCTCTATGTTGTCAAAAAGATAAAGTACAACTACTTGATATGAAAAATCCCCCACCTGCTTTAGCCAATTTGCTTTTCAGCACGGATAGGCAGAGCAAACATTTCCAAGACAATATCCGTTCTTACAATATGATGTTTGCGTTTACATCACTTGGCGGAAAGGTACAAACATCTATTAATACTGGTGCTGGACCATACACATTTCTGCTTCAAGGTCAGAATTACCATCTGTTGGGAACTATGTTGCCGGAGGAAGGCGCAAGACCAAAATTTGCACAACTTTACAACTTCGATACAGAGAATGAAGTTCAGAATAGAATTGACGTTGTTAGGTAAAATTCATTTCATTTTGTGCTTACGTTCGCAATACATATAATGCGTTTTGAGTGAAATTGTTTAATCATTTGAAATTGCAGGTCTGAGAATAGCTCGAACAATCTTGAACTTCAAATTGTTGCATACTTGAAGGATATGATCGATGAGAACAACGTACTTGCTCAGTCGTACAGATCTGCCCGGGATCGACTTTCCAGTGAAGGTCTGCAAGGTGTTAAGCTAAAGCTGGTCAAAAGTCGTAGCACCGATGGCAGGACTTATAATCTCCCTAACGCGAGTGAAATTACAGCGTTGATAGTTGGAGATTTTGATACGCAAGAAGGGGTTAGGGACATTGTGGTGGAGACTCAGTCCAAGAAGTTGCAACGCATTAGTGAGCTACATCACTGTACCTGCCGTTCCAATATCCGCTCATATTTCCTTATGGGGAAGACGGCTATAGAGAGGATATTGGTTTGAGAGACTCTTTTCGAGGTAACAAGGGAAAACGAAAAAAATTAACCATGCGAGAATACTTTGCTTACCGAATCCAAAAAAAAAGCAGCGACAATTCAGTACTTTTGAATTCAAAAAAATTGTTCCAACAGTTTGGGGTGGACGCTTATTCTATGATTGAGTCACAAAGGTTGAATTTCATTAGATACAACCAGGACCAGCTGCGTGTGGACATGTACAAAGGCATTGAAGAACGCATTTTGAGAGGGGACACTGAGGGCATATCAGCTGGTAAGTGCATAGTTCTTCCCGGTTCATTCATTCCTGGGCCGCGGTACATGTTCAACAATTTTATCGATGCACTGCAAATTTGTAATTGGATTGGCTTTCCATCGTTGTTCATAACTATTACATGCAATCCACAATGGCCTGAAATATAAAGGGTCCTCAATGACACAAGTCTCAGACCGGAGGATCGTCCTGATATTCTATGTCGCATATTTAAAATGAAGTTGGACAGTTTGCTGGCGGATTTCAAGAAGGGACATATTTTCGGACGAATTAGAGCGCGTAAGTAATGCATCAATGTTAAAAATTCAATATGCGGTATATTCATTACATCAATAATGGTTTATTGCTTGCATATCATTTGACTTCATCATTTCTTTTTGCAGACGTATGTACGATCGCATTTCAGAAACGTGGTTTGCCTCACGCACATATATTATTGTGGTTGGATAACGATGCCGAACCGAAGTGCTCCGCCGACATCGACCGGATGATTTGTGCAGAAATCCCAGACAAAAAAACTGACCGAAAGATATATGTACGACTTGGTTGAGAAATACATGATACACAGCCCGTGCGGTCATGCGAATTTGAATTCACCTTGCATGAAGAATGGCGTTTGCACGAAAAGGTTTCCAAAGAAGTTTGCACAGCGAACTGAGGCCGATGATGATGGTTACCCTGTATATAGGAGAAGGGACGATGGAAGAACGGTTATGAAGAAAAACACAATTCTTGACAATGGTTTTGTGGTTCCTTACAACCGTACATTATTGAGTAAGTACCGAGCCCACATCAACATCGAGTTGTGCAACCAGAGCAAGTCAATAAAGTATTTGTTCAAGTACGTCAACAAAGGACATGATCGTATCACAGCAACATTTTTTCAACCTCCGTCTACGGACGCCGCTTCTGTTGTACGTGATGAAATCAAGATGTACTATGATTGTAGATATTTATCTGCGTGCGAGGCGATGTGGAGGATTTTTGCATTCGATATACACTACAGGGATCCCCCTGTCATTAGATTGAGCTTCCATCTCCCCGACAATCAGCCGTTGATATTTAATGAGAACCAACCTTTAAAGAGTGTCCTGGAAACACCAACAGCAAAGCAAACCATGTTTTTTGCGTGGTTCGAGGCGAACAAGAAGTACCCACCAGCTAGGGAATTACGGTATGGAGAGTTTCCCCAGCATTATGTGTACAAGGAGGATTCTCGCGTATGGGTGCCGAGAAAGCAGGGGTTTTCTATTGGAAGAGTCACCACTGTACCCCCGGGAAAGGGAGAAGACTTTTATCTGTGATTGCTTCTCAATATCCAGAGAGGGTGCACCAGTTACGAAGACATACGAACGGTTGGTGGCAATGTTTACGCGACGTTTAAGGATGCATGCTATATTTTGGGGCTGCTTGAGGATGACAAGGAGTACATTGGTGCAATCAAAGAGGCGTACGGTTGGGCAAACGGCCACTTTCTCAGACTGTTGTTTGCTGTTATGCTGATTTCTAACAGTTTGAGCAGACCGGAATATGTTTGGGAGAGTTGTTGGTCGAATTTGTCCGATGACATTACATACAAGCACCAAATGCGCCATAATAATCCAGGTATCGATTATTTTTATGTTGTTTTACAATTTTTAAGTTTTATTTTTCCATTTTGTAAACGCATTTGTCTTACAAATTATACCTTTTGCAGGTTTGACTCTATCAGATGATAGTTTGAAGAACTATGCGTTGATTGAAATCAAGAAAATCCTACAAAGCAACGGCAAGAGCTTGCGGAATTTTGACTCTATGCTAATGCCACTACATCCGTCGAATGACACAGAGAATCGATTAGTGCTCGATGAGTTGGACTACGACGTCTTTGAGTTGGCTGAAGAACTGAAACAATATCTATCTTCTATCACAGACGAGCAGAGAAAGGTTTACGATACCATCACGGATGTTGTATCGAAAAATAGCGGCGGGATGTACTTTCTCTACGGTCACGAAGGAACATGAAAGACATTCATATGGAGAACGTTGTCCGCTGCAATTCATTCCATGGGAGAAATAGTTCTTAATGTTGCTTCGAGTGGCATAGCAAATTTGCTGCTTCCCGGTGGCCGAACCGCTCACTCCAGATTTGGACTGCCCATCATTGTGCACGATGGTTCCACCTGCAACATTACACAACAGAGTCCGCAGGCAGAATTGCTTATAAAGTCGAGACTTATCATATGGGACGAGGCCCCGATGATGCATAGATACTGTTTCAAAGCGCTAGACAAGACGATGCGATCTATCACGCATGTTCCCAAACCGTTCGGCGGCAAGGTGGTCGTTCTTGGCGGAGACTTTAGACAGATTTTACCTGTTGTGCTGAAGGCATCAAGGCAAGACATTGTTCACGCTACGATCAACTCATCTCAGCTTTGGAAAGACTGTACGGTTCTTAAGTTGCATACGAATATGAGGCTTCAATCAAGCTCTAATCCATCTGAAGTTGAAGAAATAAAGGAGTTTGCTGATTGGATACTGAGTATCGGTAATGGGGAGGCGGGAGAGCATAACGATGGTGAAGCGTCCGTTGAGATTCCTGAGGACATGCTAATTCCCGATTGTGAAGATCCATTATTGGAGCTATTGCAATTTGTGTATCCGGATTTGTTGAGTAACATATCAAATCCAGATTATTTCCAAGGAAGGGCAGTGCTTGCACCGACTAATGACTGTGTGGAGTCTGTCAACGACTACTTGTGTTCTCTACTACCCGGCGAAGAGAAGTTGTACCTTAGCGCGGATAGTATGTGCAAGGATGAGTTGAATTCGGAAGAAAATGCTGAAATATATTCGACCGAATTTCTCAACACCGTGTCTTGCTCCGGTCTCCCTTCACATAGGCTGAAACTGAAGGAAAATGTTCCTGTTATGCTTATACGAAACATCGACCAGGCGAGAGGCCTTTGCAATGGAACCAGACTTCAAGTTGTTAGGATGGGAGTTCATGTTCTTAGTTGCAAGGTTCTATCCGGTAAAAATATCGGTGGTGTTGTTTTCATTCCTCGGATGACGTTGGTCCCATCGAACTCTACTTTGCCCATTAAGTTCCAGAGGCGACAGTTTCCGTTGATGGTTTGCTTTGCAATGACCATCAACAAAAGTCAGGGTCAAACACTTTCTCATGTCGGTTTGTATCTACCCAAACCTGTATTCAGCCACGGTCAGTTGTACGTTGCACTATCGAGAGTGAAGAGTAGATCTGGCATAAAGATCCTAATAAAGTCTGAATCCGGTGAATCATCGAGTTCTACTAGCAACGTGGTGTACAAAGAAGTATTTCAACGTATATGAAGGTATATATCATGCATGCCATCCATTATTCGACTTATTATCATATTTTGTCTTATTAATGTATGTATGTGCTCTCTATCTTTAGGTATGTTTGCAAGTCATTTTTTTGTCTAGCATATCCGGTATAGTCGCTTTTGGTAAGTACTATAATCGAAATATTATTTAATTACGCCCTGATTGTTGTTTTAGTAATGCACTGTATTCTTGCAAAATACGAAAACTTTGCAAGTTAACTGCTATGTACTGTTTGATCTGTGGAGATAGAGCAGTGGATTTGATTCCATTAGTTTTAGTTAGTTCTAGAATTTTCGTTGCAAGACATGTCGAACGGAATATGTTATTCATTTTTTTTTATAAAATTTCAACTTGCTTTGGGACCGATTTTTTTATTCATCCAATATCTTAACTTATATTAGTTTTATATTTAAGTTAGAATATTAATTTTTCTGACCCTAAATTGTTGAATATCAATTTTATTCTTGAAGGTGATCCCCGTGCATCGCACGGGTGAGATACTAGTTATAATGAAAGCAAAACCTGTGACAAAAAAATACGAGTTAAATAGCAAAATGGAAAATGCGAGTTAGATTACATGAAAAAAAACAAAAAAAAAAAAAAACAAAAAAACATGATTTTTTTTTTTTGTTGATAAATTTACTGAACTGAAATCGACTACAAATGACTATAGTATATACAAGTACTATAGTCATGTATAGCTATATGTGTCATGACTATACATGACTACATATGACTGACTATATACGACTATATATGACTAAATATAATTGTATATTCACCTGACTCAAATCACTAATGTAAGTAACCACTACTGGTTAAATTTTTATTAAAGACAAACAAAACTCTCACACTTTAGGCATTTCGAATCATCTTCAAATAAATACAAAAAATAAATTACATACGATTTATAATAAAAAAAAATAAAATTACATGAAAAATACAAAAAAACATGAATTTTTTTTTTTTTGGATAAATTTACTGAACTGAAATCGAGTACAAATGACTATAGTATACCACAAGTCTTATAGTCATGTATAGTTATACGTAGCCATGACTATACATGACTACATATGACTGACTATATATGACTGTATATAACTAAATATAATTGTATGTTCACCTGATTCAAATCACTCATGTAAGTAACCACTACTGGTTAAATTTCCATTACGGACAAACAAAGCTCTCACACTTTAGCATTTCGAATCATCTTCAAATAAATACCAAAAAAAAAATTGTAATATGATTTATAGTAAAAAAAATCAAATTAATCCAAAGAAAAATATTTTAATATTAATTGTTCACAGATCATCAAAAAATAGTAGATATGTGTTTTCTTTTTATATAAATGCAGTAAATAAATACAAATCGAACACCACCTATTCCAGATCTGAAATTCACCATTAGATCTGACTACACATCGTCGGATCACAATTTAAAATTTTCAAATTTAGTTGATTTTCATAAAAAAAAACAATAAAATAAGGTGTAATAGTGAAAATAATTCAGATCTTAAAAAATAAATTAAAAATGGATGGACATTCATAAATTAAAAAAATAACTTAAAAAAGTGAAGTGAATGGTTTAGCACCGAGTTCAAGGCGGTGGGAGGAGCAACGACGGCCGGCACAAGGCCGTGGCGGAGCAGCGGCGCAAGGCTTTGACGGAGCAGCGGAACAGCCGGTGCGGATCGGCGGAGCACGGCGGAGCGGCGGAGAAGGCGTGCGGCGGAGAAGGTGGAGAAGCGGAGCGGCGGAGAAGCGGAGAAGGCAAAGAAGCGGCGGTGGGAGGTGAGAGAGAAGAGAAAACGTGGGAGGAGGGAGAGAGAGGAGAAAACGGCTGGGAAGAGGGAGAGAGAAAATATTGGTGAGAGGGTTAGGGTTTTAAATTATAATTGAAAGGGCAAAATTGGTATTTCAATTTGTCTAGGGGTCTATCAAATTAAGATTAGAATTTGAGTTTTTGACTAAGAAAGAAAAAATATCCCTATATATTGTCAAAACTAGGGGGATTTAATATTATTTCGCCCTGGCCTCCAAATATACCGGGATGCTTTTTAACTAGTAAACTTTTTGGGTTTTTTTTCTTTCTTTGAAGTAGATGATTCCAATTTTCAGAGTTTCCCTGCACTCTTTCTTGAAATTTATTTTTCAACTACGTTCTCCCTCTCTCCCTCTCTCTTTATCGCATTTTCTCTCTATCTCCCTTTCTCTCATCTCTCTATCTCTCTCTTTTTCTCCAGTAGAAGAATGAAGGCCGTCGCCGGCGGTGGCGGCAAGAACCAGGAGCAGCGGTGGTGGAGGGAGTCGTGGTGAACGCGCGACGGTGGGTGGGGGTCGTGGTGGAGGCGGCGACTGCAGGGGCTGTGCGGCGGAGGGTTATAATTATAGTTGTGATGTTATTGAAAGCATATTCTGAATGACCGTGTTCGGTTGTTCTTTTACTTTTACATTCTATTATTTTTCTCTCATTTTATTTTAGAACTTTTCCATTTGAAACATCGCTTTATTCTCCCACGTACTCTTTTTTGTAGTTTTATACAAGTAATGAATTTAATTTCATTAGGAGATCTATTTGATCTCATCTTATGATATTTTATTAGATATTTTAATTTTAGGTTTTCATATTTATTATATTTTATATATATATTTATAATAGTAAAATTGGATAAATGTGCTGAGCACACTATATAACAAAAATTTACAAAACAATTAAATAGTCACCTGCAACGCACTTGCATCTTTCACGTAGGATTAAAAAAAGAAAAACTGACAAAAAATGAACTACCCGACCCTTTTTGGGTACCCAACTAGCAAAAACCGGATTGTATTTTTTGGATCGGGTTTTTGAAAACCCGAGCCACTGTCCGCCACATTGTTACAAATTGGGAAAGTAGGGGAAGTAAACAGGATTGGAACACCCTAGACCTCTACTCTAATAGTAGAAGTTAGGTACAAAGTCGTCGGTTGATACTTTTTGTAATCATTCCGAACTTGACTATAAATGAAATATATACATGTTTCAGTTTAGTACAACACCTAAAAGAAGATGACAACAATGTCAAACAGTAGTAGACGAAGAAGAGCCGGCTAGCGCCCAGGTGCCCGATTAATGCAGACACCAGGCTTCGGCATCTGTATATGCGCAATCATGGGTTACATGAACATAATCGATATCGATTTATTCAAGAATGAGTTGGTGCTAATCCTCGTTAAACATCCTCGTTTCTCCAGCCTCCTCGTAAGCACGTTGTTCAATTTCATTATATATATAATTTAATTTGTATTGAGTAATGGATTTTTTATTCATTTTATTTTCGTGTCTGAATTTAATTATAATAAAGATTGAAAGGGACAAGAGGCTTAGTATGTACTCGTGGAAACAAACAAAGGTAGACATTGAAAAGCACGTATCTGCTCCGGATTTGGATCCGGACATGGAATCGCCCGATGAATTTGTGGAGAAATCTATAAATCGGATATTTAGAAAAATATCATAAAATTCCCAATTTCTTTTCACAGATCTGAACCTCTTTTTGAAATCCATAAATTCCTCACCAATTTATCTCATAAATTCCGTTTACAAATTTCCTATGTTTACACTTGGTACATTTTAATATATTTATTTTTGGTCTTTACTATTTTTTTTCAATATTATTTCCCAGAGTTTGCGTTTCTTTTGTGTTGTGGTGTATTCAAATGGTATGATCCTAAAATATGTGCTAGATCAAAGAACATTATCCCCGAGTTTCTGAGAAACGTCAACAAACTGGAACCACCAACATAGTTTTATGCATGTTTGGATTTGGAAAAGGTGTAGAGGAATTTCAAGAGAAAATTAGAGAAACTTTTTATTCGGCCTTTTATTAAAGAGGAGGGGGGGATGATTTTTGTGTATCACGTGCGACCCACGTGTTGTTTACCGTCCAAACTAACCAGCCGAATCGACGGAGGGACTAAAACAATAGAAAAATGGCATGTTTAGGCACTTATAATAAAACTTCATCTTGTTTAGGGACGAAAAACGAATAAGTGGTAAACTATAGGGATTAAAAATGTAATTATCCCTATTTTGAGTATATAGTTTTATTTAAAAAGAAGAAAACTAATTGGAATGAGTTATAATCTATTTTTTTCTTCTAAATAAACATCTTATTTTATTTTTTATTTGAATTTGTCATACTATCGATTTAATAACTTAAGTGAGCTTGTATTAAGTCATGCATTTGTTTATATTTAATTGAGTATTCTTTATATTTTTCAATAGTGGAGTATATTAATTTATATAATTAATAATAAATGTTTGGGAAGGATATTGAACCGCATCTCTTTATACTTTTTCAACTTTATTATATTAAATTTGTTAATAATTTATTTAAAGTTATTTAATAATAATGAATGTCATATTTTAATAATCTATTTAACATTATTTAAATACTTATATTTATTATCACTTTACATTGTGTCTTGCCAATATATAAAATGATTGTTAAAAGTGTTTATATAAGTTAATGTGCTCTAATAGTCAATAGCGTAATATTAATCTATTTTATATTGGTTTAATAAAAAAAATAATTGAAGGATATTTTGGTAAAATTCTTCATTGTTTGTAACACCACTATTTTCCAAGGTTGTAAAAATCGGTAATCGGGTCCGACTCGGTCACGCACCGATTCACGATTAATCGGTGCGGCGGTGATTAATCGGTGATAAATCGGAAATAAATCGTTTTTTAAAATTTAATATAATATATTTGTAGATATTATTTATAAATACTCAAAACATGGATAAAAAATATTTAAACATAGTTATATCTCCATCATGTATATATTCTAATAACATAATAAAAGTTTAATAATAATAAGATCATAATACATAAATATCCTTATAAAATATAAATAAAAAGACAATTTTTTTTGAATTTACATACATTCTTGGCATACATCATTAGTTCTTTAACAATAATAATTAACATAAACAAAATAAAGCATAAACTCCTTTTTTTTTTTAATTCCAACTTTTATTTTGATTTATAAAAAAAAAAAAAAAAAAAAAAAAAAAAAAAACCTATTTTTGACCGATTTTTTGCCGATTTTTTCCACTGAAGTTTGACCCGCCTTAAAGGTTTGACCGCCTCGGATCGCCTCAGACCGCCTCAGACCGCCTCGGACCGTCTCAAACCGCCTCAAACCGCCTCACAGGCAAAAAACCGTTTTTTCAAACCTTTACACTAAAATCGTAAAGGTTTTGGACCGCCTCCGCCTAGGCGACCGATTAATCGGCCGCCTCGGCCGATTTTTAGAACACTGCTATTTTCTTAGGGTCATGATTTAATCTTAGAAAATTAATGGTAATTGAAACATATCTCATATAAGTTTAGAACACGGTCTATCTCACCCTATACAAATCATAGTCTTAATTATAATCAGTGTTCTAAAAATCGGCCGAGGTGACCAATTAATCGGTCTCCGAGGCGGAGGCGGTCCCAAACCTTTAAGGTTTTAGTGTAAAGGTTTAAAAAATTGGTTTTTTGCAAATTACAATTAGTCCTATAAATTTAGATTATTTATAATTAAATCAATCTGGTTTTTTTTCTTTTTCTATAAAGGGATATTACTGTCATTTCACCCTGGAAATAGAATAAAAACATCGCACAACCCGCGAGTGAGTGACACGATTTGCCTCCAGGGGTCCGGATGTCTTGACTTTGTTAACACATGGGGAGGTAGCGAGTTTTTCTTTAATAGGAAGTATTTGGCAATTAGAGATTATACAGGGGTGGTATTTTCAATTAACTCTACAAATAGCTGCCAAAATTGCAGTTTTCTAAGGTAATGGGTCCACAAGGAGTCCTATATGGCTTACATTGCTCCCATTGTTTCTCGATTTCCTCAAGTGGAATTACTTATTTAATTCTTCTTTAATTGTATATAGTTAATTAACTACATTTAATGTGATATATATACTGACTAGTGAGTTAGGTGGATTAATTATAATTATGTACAAAAACCCTGTCATGAGAATGACCGCACACAGCTAGGGCCGTGTATATGACATATGCCGTGTTCTTTCATTCAATTAATTAATTATATGAGACCCCACAATTATAAATTTGCCCTAAGTTGCACGGCTAGTTTTGACTCGCTTCGTAAGATATATGAGATGTTTTTGGTAGTGGCATGTAGGACCGGCAAATGAGCCGGGCCTAATCGAAGCTCGATGGCTCGGCCCGATTATATTTGGGCCGAGTCTACTTTTTAGTGAGCCAGGCTGAGTTTGAGCCATTTTGCTAAACCCGATTTATTTATGAGCTGAGTTTGAGCCTACTATGGCTCAACCCGAATAAGGCCCGACCGATTAGGATAATAATAAAATATATATTATTATTTTAATAATATGACTCAACATACAAGTTATGACCGTATAAGATTATTTGATTTTGCGAAGTAAAAAGTCAAAATAAAAGGAATTAAGTAGTGACGGTGACAATAAATTAAATATGAATCAAATGCAACATATCACCGAGATTTGAGAATATAAAATGTTTCCAATAATAAGAGTTGCTAATCTTTTTTTACTTATTTCGTTTTTATTTTCAAGTTTTTCCAATAACTTTCAAAGATCATTAAGGGTTTTTTTTTATTGGCTTCAATGGAGGTAAATCTTGTTCATCACTTATTCTTATAGAAAACATTAGCTCATTACAATTATATAGTAATGGGGCCCGATATAAACCCGAAACCCGAAAAAATATATGAGCCGAGTTTGAGCCTATTCTAATGAGGCCCGTTGACATGTGAGCTTGAGCTTATAATAACGAGGTCCGATGGTATGTGAGCTTGAGCCGACCCAAGCTCAGCTGACATGGCCC